CCTCTCTGACAGTGAGTGAAAGCCCGGGCTGCCGACTGCAGACAGGAGGGGTTCTCCAGAGAGGCTTTGATTTCAAGCAGACAAACAGATTTAGCTGATTGTAGGACTGTGGCGGTCACTCACAACAAACAGTTTATCCTTAACAGAGTGGCCCCTGCAGCCTGTCCTCTGTCCATCACAAACACAACACTCACCCCCACTGAGACCACAACACCGATCCCTGGATAACTGGGTCAGATGGTGGTGAGGTTGAGTAAGTAAGAATCGCACAACTTTATCCTCAAATAATTTAAGAAGATCCGACCGAATACCGCCAGGCCACCAGGTCGGGGGGGTGGAGCATGTAAGAGAGTGTTTGGTTGTGTTTGGTCAACGGAGTTATTGGCTTTACTCAACAGAAAGTGGAGACATTTTCAAAAAGAGTCTGCAAAGAAAGCCTAAACTGCTCCAGTTGCCAGATGCATCTATGTCTAAATATGGCTTAAAATATCTGAATAAAGATAAGGGGAATAATTATTCTTATCACTTCACTTATGACTGCAAACTATGTCAGCCCATTTGTCCTTTGATTATTATGCACGAGTTAACCAGATGCTATTTTGGTCGAAGGTATATTCAGGAGAACAGCCTTTTTTAACAATATCCTCGGTGGCGTCAATGTAAGACCTTCAGATAGAAATCAACCAATCACAGTGACTATTATTCTATTAGTGCTGCTGCTTTTCTCACGCTCCACTTTTCTAAAGCTGCTACTAATAACTATGGCATCCTTACTATTATAACTTCTTCTAAAACTCTAATAAGTCTAATTTGATTACTAGCATTATTTACTTCTGCTTCTTTATTGGGATTAATTGGGAAGTATTTTTAAGTAACGACAGAAGCTCAGAGGAAAATGAATCTGCTGCAAACCTGACAATCCATTTATCATTTCAGGTGATTATACACTGACAAATAAAAATATTATATTCCATTTCTGACAACAGATCCTTCTAAATGATGCTCCAATCTGGAGCAGTGACTGTGGGCTGTATTATTCACTTAATGCTGACATTTTATTGCCCAAATTATCAATAAATCAAGAATCAGCAGATGAATTGATCATGAAAGATATTTAATATCTATATCCTGTTTATTTTTTTACTAATGCAGTTTTTTGTAGCTGTAATAGAGGACAAAAAATACCAGAAATAGCAGCATCTTCTTTGACTGCTAGCTACTATTATGACCTCTACTGGAACCACTGTTACAAGCACATCTTCTCCTTCAATGACCACCACAGTTATGAGACTTATTACTACCGCCACTAAGATTTATTGGAGAATTAGTAGCATTGTTCTGTCGCTGCATCCCGAAAGCATAAACCCCTGAGACAATCCATTAAAGCTCCAAAACAATTCCTGCAGTCCTTTAAAAAAGCCTTGCAATGGAGCGTTTTTCAATGTCTTCAAGCAGGTTTTGATTTTGACACTCCTCGCCGATGGTTGCAGGTCATCTCCGGCAGAATGTCTTCTCTGGAGACAAATGTCAACTGAATAACAAAAACGTATATGTCCATTTATCAGAGCAGGACATAGCTGCAGGGTTCTCGCCACTGGGATATAGGCGAATGGAAACCCACCTTTAGCTGATACGTCTCATAACGGACGCTGCTGTTTAATGGCATCCGGCTTAACCAACACTGTTGGGTCAATATTTATTTTAACTATAAGCTAAACAGGTTTGTGAAAAACCAATCTACCTTTACCTTGTTGATTTATTCCAGTGGCATCTCCCTTATTATAAACATAGGAATAGACGTATCTGGCATGTTAAGGGAAGAATGATATCTGTAAATGTTTACTTAAACACCTCGTATCGAATGTGCTCTCGCTGCCAGGATGATGTGGTTTGCTTGGGGAAGATATTAATTTTAGATTTGATCAGGACTACAATCTGCCTTAGATTAAACTGTCATGACTGTGCCACATTTTTCTACCCTTGATTGGTTAAAAAAACTGCTTCTCTTTTACAACTGAAAGTTTAAAAAAAAATAAGATACCGTTATCTGACTCCACCGTGGAGTACGTCAGGTCGGACACACCCTGTGCCACGCTGAGTAGATATAACAACACAGCTTACCACTGGAAGGCGATCGGTCCGGAAAACAAGCAGAACCTGCTGTACAACATTTTAAAAGGTGTTATTTTACTGCTCAATGTACTACTGGATCCATTTATGAATCTGATACTTTACTCAATTACAGATCAGCAGCTGAGAAAGTAGAAAGTTTTTTTTTTTTTTTTTAAAGAAAAGAAACAGTAATAAATCTAAACATGATGTTGCTGAAGCTACTAAATCTTTCAAAAAGCAGCATCTGTGCCACTTGTGGAAAGATGGCTTTATTTAATTTAACTTTAAGTGTGGCCATTTTAAAAAATAGCCCAGAGCAAAAACAAATCTGTGCACTTTATGAACAGATAGCTGCCTTAACTAAACAAAACAAAAAATCATCAAAACACTTGTTTTTCTCCAACGGGACCAATGTCATGTTGACTTTTCTCCCAGCTCGCTGTTGTTGTTGTTGTGGAAGTCACACGGGTCGCAGTGGAGAGTTGGGAAAGGGAGGAAATATGGGATTTATGGGGCTCTGTCTGTCGGGTGCTTTTAATTCAGGCCGTGTGCTAACAATAAAGGGATCGCAACTGTTGACATTTTTGAATAGACAGATATAACTCTATCTAATTCCACCTTAAACGTTGGTATTTTGCACAGTAAGGTATCTGAGGGAGGTCTATATTAGTTCATTCTTGTGTTTTTTTGTAAAACTGGGCTATAGATTGGTTTATATTTTGACTGGGAGGACAGACTATGACTCAGTACAAAAGCAACTGGAGTGGATTGTGTGTTTGTACCGCCGTCGATATGGTGACAAACGCATTAGACATCTGTGATATATACCCTATGTGATGACAATCCTTTGACAGGAGGGTGCACACTCTCAGCGGACTGTAATTTGTAAGCAGTGTGGCCCCCTCGTCGACACAACGTCTTTAATGCCGCGTTCATGTGGTTGACAGCATGACGGCCTTTTCGTGTCAGGTGATATCATCTTAAGGTCAGAAACAGCCCCCACGATGGCATTTCAAACAGTGTGTCTTTAATGCCAAATACATGCACGGATCTTTTTGGGGTTTCCAGGCAGCGGTTACAACCGGACTCATGAGCGATATATCGATAAAATATCATGCTGTTATTGAAGACTGGACACTATCAGGGCATTTTGGTTAACGTAATACTGCGATAAAGTTCAGTCTTGTCTTTTTCAGGGTCTTGAAAAACTGCGTTACTGTTAACTGATAACAACCACAGATCTCAGTGCGTAATCGTCTTTAGAAATGCAAAGGTAGTTAGAACTGGTCTAACACATACACACCCAAAAAAATGCCTGCATCCCCCAGACTTATTTTACCTCAAGAAAAACCTGTGTTTAAACAGGCTTAGCAAAGGGAGCCAGAGGAAAGTCCACATTCTCAATGAAGCAAAGCTTATAGAGCTGACTGTTCAGCTCTGACTGGTTATTGCTTAAATGTAGTATCTCCTCAGATATAAAGATCTAAAAGCACAAAAAGTCACCTCCAAATATGGTTTCCAGTCAAAAACACCATTGTGATATTCCCCTTTGTCAGCATTGACCATAGTCCCACGGAAAACCCCTGGCTAGGCTGATGGAGGGAGGTCATATCCTGACTACTGCTCCTCTTTTCACATCAGCTCCAACCTCCAAGGACCTGCAGATACCTTCATTTTTAAATGATTCTAAATGAAAGGAGCCCATCTGAATGTCTGTACACCGGCCACATGCTCACCCTCACTCAGTCTGTCTCACCAGTTCACCACCTGAAAGAGGAAAATAACACTAAAAGATGTTACTTTCAGCTCCATCTCGGTTTCGGTTGTGGATATTTTGTTTGTAGCACCGATCTGGGATCATAACACCGAGGATAAAGCAGCAGCCTGACTGCACACCATCAGCAGCCAACTGAAACCACCTCTGAGACTTTACACAACACACACACACACACACACACACTGTGCAGTGACTTTACACAATGATACCAGACATGCTACCTGTTGGTGTTTTTCACCCTGCTGCAGGCTGACGTTTTGATGTCACCAGTTGTGGGATGATAGGACATGGGGGGGGGGGGCACACAGTCTACTGAATAAACTCATGTACACTGTGACACTATCTCCAATAAGGGTACATTATGACCCTAATTAGTATCAATTAAGACTAATCATGCATTCGCGGGTTATCTTAAAATACCCCATATTCATGTTGAGCACGCTGTGAATCTGGGTCATATATAAAGATCTGTGAGAGGCTAAAAAGATGTGTTTTATCCCCCCACATCCATCATTTCCATCATTTCCAGTCAGACCAGATCTAGTCCTGATTCTGGTCTGGCTAGTCCAACCAGTGGAAGCTCGAAGCCCGGAGGGGGCAGCGGAGGATTCTGCATGCATTCCCCAGAAACTGCTGTTGGCTTCAGGGGGAAAGAGAAAACATAACGCCGAACCCCGTTTAAAAAGCTGTCAAATCGATGTGTCAATCTCTTCGACAGGTGTACGCAGATCTCCCAACATGATATAAGATCTTCAGATTAACACTGGGAGATGTTTTGCGCATTACGGCTCCAACTGATGCAACCCTAGATCATTCTGATTCAGTTAATATCACAAGTTGTATAGTTGGCGTACATCCACCGCCACCGCTCCTCCGGCGCGGGGAAGACTTTCCAGATAACGAGTGAACATTTAGTAAAAGTAGACATTTGAATCACTTTAATGCTAATATGTTTGAATAAAAGTGAGCCGAATTGAAGAAGGGATGTGACAGACTCGTCTGAGTATCGAGTCACATCCTACCACGAACACTAACCGCACTACGCCACGGCAAATTTAAAATGTCAAATGTTTAGGCGGAGTTTGGCACAGAACGCTCAACAGATCCTTACCTCTTTGACTTTAGCCCGTCTGTCCCGGGTTTCGGAGTCCAGGGGTTCGTGTCCAGTCGCCCCGGGCGGGCGGTGATACTCAACGAAAGGTAAATTATTGCCATCCTTCCCACCTTGACCCACACTCTCCTTTGCAACTTTCTCTTTCTCATTGATAATGTCTTGCTTTATCTCTTCGGGCCGTTTCTGTAGAGTATCCTTGGCCTCTATCAGAGCTTTCTCGTGGTCCTTCCTGATTTTGGCCAGGACCCTCTCGTCGTTCCCGGCCGAACCGGAGTCGCTGCTGTCCGGACCGGTGCGGGTGTTGGTCTCCACCGCGGAGGAATGAAAGAAAACTCCGCTGAGCAGCTTGGACGAGTCCGGTAGGAAGAAAATGGCCCCGAAACACAGCGTGATAAAAGCGCTGAACACTAATAACAAAATGAATTTCTCTGTCAACCTGAAAGATGTCGGGCTGGCAGACTTCCTATTCGGGGTCGCGGTAAAAGGCAGAAGAGTTGCAACTGGCATTTTTCCCCCTTTCTTCTTCCAGCAACTCCAACACCGAGAGAAAAAAAAAAAAAAAAAAAATTAAGTAAAGTCTGGCTCACGAGTCGGCTTATTTCCCTCCCCCCCTCTCCCCGTTCACAAATCCATTTCCGATGTGTGAGTCGTGGTTTAAATGTTGGAAGGTGTTAGAGGTACAAAATTAAAAATAAAAATCTCCGGTAAAAAAGTTGAGGAGTGAGAGGCGACTGCCCATACCGGAGACTCTCTGCAGACAGACCGAG